TGTCATAACCGAGAGGATCTCCCGGAATAGGATCATTTTACTAATTGTTCTTGCATACCTAGAATTTGCAGGATATGCCGGTTGAACCGTAGAGATACTTTGATTGGCTGCCGAGGGAGCACACGCCTCTCTGTCTACATTGTGTGCAGTCAGCACACTTCTCACTTCACATGCCCTTGCTTTTTATGTGCATGTCACTTCAGTAATATTGCTAGGATAAAACCTATGTGGACAGAAACCAGTGAGCAACGGTAAATAAAATGTCTTGCGGGCCACACATAAAATCCCAATGGGACGCATGTGACCTGCTTGCCACAGGTGGCCCCTCATTGAGTTAGATCATGCCCCCAAGATTCACAGGTGAATATTCCTTTCCCCTGCAACATGAGTCTTCTCTGAAGTAGGGTTCCAGGAAGTAGCCACAGCTGGTGGGGTGGTAAGGCTGACAAAGCCCCATGGGTCATGTATACAGTTCTGATTCCTTGCTGATCCTTTCAAACTGAACTGTTTTTAACAGAATGTCTTGCAAGGCTCCCTGCTTACTAGACTGCATAAAGACATGCTTCTAGTTACCCGGTCTATCTTCTACCCCATTCTGTTTGGTTGCTCATCTCCTTCTCTGAAATTATTTAAAAAATCATTGAGAAGGTCCTCCCATAGTTTTACTGTCCACAGAGCCATTCAGCTGATCTGATTATTTCTAAATAGGATTCACAGCTGCTCTTAATGGCATTCTCTAAAACAAAATGTGAAATACTGTTAATTTACTCGAATGCTGTTTTGAGGATATTGCAATAGTGTGGTGTTGCATTCTGGTTAGAAGGTCAGAACATTGATGTATGTTTAATTAAACTTTAATGATTTCTTTATAATGATAGAGTTGCGGTACCCAGTTATTTTACTTGATTTAGAAGACATGTATTTTTTTCAGCCAGGTGTTACAATACAGAATATGACCTTGCCTTGGTAAATTGGGTCAAGTAGTAGGGATAAGGAAATAGGAAGTTATTGGTGGGCTCAGACCTAGAAGGGGCTCCTCCACATGTGGTTTTCCTTGTTCTTATGTGTAATTGGGGATATGTTGCCCCGTGATATTACCCCTTCCTTCTAAAGAGCTCTATTTGTAAATCTGTGGCTTAACGTGAAAGAAGGGGTTGGCTGTATCTTATGAAATAGGTACGACTTAGTACATACAGACCCAGGGTATGTCTACATTGCATTCCTCTTTCAAGAGAGGAATGCAAATTCAGCTGAGTGAAATTGCAAATGAAGCATGGATTTGAATTTCCCGTGCTTCATTTGCATAATCGCATCCGGGAGCTATTTTGAAATACCCTATTTCAAAAAAAGAAATGCTGTCTAGATGCGGTTATTTCGAAAGAAAACCCTTTTTTCGAAATTACCCTTAAACCTCATTTTATAAGGAGTAAGGGTAATTTCGAAAGAAGGGTTTTCTTTTGAAATAACCACGTCTAGACAGCGTTTCTTTTTTCGAAATAGGGTATTTCGAAATAGCTCCCGGATGCGATTATGCAAATGAAGCACGGGAAATTCAAATCCATGCTTCATTTGCAATTTCACTCAGCTGCATTTGCATTCCTCTCTCGAAAGAGGAATGCAGTGTAGACATACCCCCAGGGAACTTACTAGAAAAAATCAGTGAAGTCCTAAGATGTATGAAGTGTAGGATCTCTGCAGCAGCATTGTCAAAGAGCCAGATAAGGAAAGCAGGAGCCAGCAGTGCAGAGATTCAGAGCTCCATGCTTCATTTGCAATTTCACTCAGCTGCATTTGCATTCCTCTCTCGAAAGAGGAATGCAGTGTAGACATACCCCCAGGGAACTTACTAGAAAAAATCAGTGAAGTCCTAAGATGTATGAAGTGTAGGATCTCTGCAGCAGCATTGTCAAAGAGCCAGATAAGGAAAGCAGGAGCCAGCAGTGCAGAGATTCAGAGCTGCTGCATATAGATAGCCTTGTCGTTCCCCAGATTCTATGACATCTGCCAGGCGTGATGGCCGCTAAAAAAACGGACACGCTTATCGGGGGGGGCAGGGCCGGCCAGGAGGGGGGC